CCCCAAAACCCCAAAACCCCAAAACCCCGAGTTCCAAATTTTATTATATTTTGGAGTTTTAATAGAATATATTAGATTATTAATTTAGTTACTTTAAGAATTGCAATTCCTTAAAAAGTATAAGCTCAGAATGCTAGTATCTTATCTTTTAATTTGGCAATATCGAGGAAAGGACCATCAGTATTTTTAGTTTGATCCAAGTCAGTCCAGCCGAAGTAAAGCATGCCACTTGGTACCATTCTTACTTATTTTAGAGTTTGTTTCATCTCAGTCATAATCTTCTTTGGAGGGGTCTCGTATAAATAAAACTCTCTTCCCTAGACATAAAGATGCTCCTAAACAAAGTCATAGAGAACTTAAATATTCTCAAGAGCTCCAAACGTACCTTGAATGACATAATCATCTGGAAATCTTATTCTGACTAAGGCAGTGGTGTATACTTGCATCTTTTAAAGTCTCTCTAACTCCTCTTGCCTCTTGTTTCTGAAATGAGATGATTTTTCATTCTCTGCCATTAACTTTAGGGCTTATGTACTTGCGATGGCCTCTTCAAGTTTTTCTTATGAAATCTTAAGTTCTCTTAATCTTTCCTGTTCTAATCTATCTAGTTCCATCAAATAGCCTTTTAGATTTGTCCCAGTGCTCAATACATTAAAGACTTTAATATCTCTATCTGTAACTTTAGTTGACTTCAAGGCTTTCTATATTAAGTTTATTAATTCAAAAGGTTAGGATTACCATTCTCTCATTTTAGATTTTCTAGATTTCATTGTTAACCTGATTAGGATCATAAAAATTGATCTGATCTTTGCCATCTCTAATAACTGGCATTTTATTTGAAGTGGTTGATGAGACAACTGATTTATAAGGATTAAATTATTAACCAGACTCTATTTCACCTCCAAGACTGATAACATGAGCATTAATTGATTCCATACCTGCATCTAAAAGGATCTAATCATACTTATTCAACTCAATCTGTTCAGGATTGCACTTGAAGTCGAACCCAATCTATAAAATTGTTTGCTTTATATTTTGAGTTTATTCTTACGATTTAGAGGAATTGAACTGCACCTTTAAATGCAAGAACTTTCGCTTAAACTGACTTGTTTGTCTTATTGAGCCTTCTAACTGTTGGTTCAAGTGGCTTGCTTAAGAGATTATTTAATACTGTAAATAAAGTTTTGACTGTATCTCTATGTTAAGCTACATTAGAGCCAGTCTCATTTTATAGAAGAGTGAGCGCATTTAAACAATATTCCACAGTCTCGTCTTTCTTCAATTCTTCTTTAGAAATTGGTTATTGATTCTACTTAAATGTGGTTGTATCTATCATTTCTTGATCTTGTTAGTTTGATTGCTGCTTCACAGATTATTGGTTATTCTATTGCATTGCTGGTTATGATGACTCTGATAATTTCTTTTTAATTTGATTCACAACACCCATTGGAAACTTAAGATCAGTCCACTATGAATCTGTGACTTATTTCAAAGAATCTATTGTATCAAGCCAATTATCTTCAAGTCTATATAATGTCTTCAGAACAAGCATCTAATATTTACATTTTGATGAAATTCTACATTGTTGCAGGGTCTTTCCCCATTGAGCGAGCTAGCTCTGCCATAAATTAACTAACTTCTGACATTTTACAAATTAATCAACCAAATATTTCAATTATATCTTTAATACTGAAAGATAAGAATCTTGGGGTTTTGGGGTTTTGGGG